AATAGGGTCCAAAGGCACTTCCCCACTAACTTGTATGATCTCCAGAGGTCTGAAGATCTCTGGCAGGATATGGCAGGCTAAGACCATATCCATATGCTCTGTGTTCACTGTGGCTTCACACTACCAAAGACCTCCTGGGTTATAACTGAATTGTGATAATTCCAGGTGTTCTTATCTCTTCTCAAAAATTTCTATTGGGATGGAGGAAGAATTTTGTGTATGGGTTCACCTGTGTTTTCCCAGACCAGTCTTCATTTTCCTACTTCAGCCCAGACCATGGGACTGTAAACACTCTAGGAAGGCAAGGAAGCAGTGTGACAGCTGGTTTGACAGCTAAACCCATGTTCCATGGAGGAAGAGTAAGGGCATGCATCCAGAAGCATTCTTTTAATACACAGATCTGAGGTCAGGCCAGAATCTTTATTCGAAGTAGCTGCTACCCTCATTAGCAAGATTGTTGGCTCAAACTCTAATTTGACTATTTTACGAAACAATCTTTTCAGAGAGAAATTTGAGCCTATAGATTACTCTAGTTCTCTATACGCACAAAATTCGGGTAATTTGAGCCCGTAAACAGAAAAGCATCATACCTGGGATTTGTTATGCATATTCGAATATTTTTCCCCCTGTATAAAATCTTATAGCAAAGCGTTTTCCTGACATTTGTAAAAGAAGATATTGCAAAGGAAATTCTTGTTTTGGTAGATTTTTCCCCTGACATATGGCTCATATCTCTCGAAAAATGACACTAGAAAGATACCACCTACTCATGAAGGAGTCTAGAGAGAAGGTGGTGCCAATCAAACAACAGCAGCTGATTCCAGTCATCACAGCAAGCACCCCAAGAACCAATGTAATTACCTGTCTCCATTTTACCATCCTGTGCTGCAGGCCCATCAGGAATTACACTCTTCACTTGTAGAAACTCATCTGGCTCATCCCCACCAATGATGGTAAATCCAAAGCCCATGTTGCTCTTCTTGAGAGTTGTGCTGAGGAAAGTCCCTTTCAGTTGTGATGCATCACGGGTGAAGAGTGGTTTTTCTACATCAGTCAACACAAACAAGAAAGGAAAAAAGTTCTGGTCAAGTCATTCCAGAAAATGGGTACACAAGCAGCAGAAGCAGCAATAATAGGTGGTAGTGTGTAAAATTAAAGGAAATAAAATGTGCCAGAATTCCAAGGAAAAAAAATGTATTAGTGAGTTATTTTATATTAATACAAAGCTAATAACAATTTTTTAAAATCAATGGTAGATCAGTCATAGAGGCTTATACTCTCTTGTACTGGAAGCACATTTAGAGGTAGCTGTTGTGTTTCTAAAATAATTACGCAAAAATAAAAATGATATACAAGGTAATTTTGAACAACTCCTCAAATATCCCCAGCCTATAAATTCAGTTTTGGAAAGAAAATTATTCAGTCTATAATTTTCCCTCCCACCTGCAATGAGGAAAAATGTCTTGCATATTTTATAATCATGGTTCAAAGACAAAAAAATAAAAATAAATTCTAGATAATCTTTTTTTTCACCCTACACAAATGAGATTTCAGCTTCTAACAAATGACATTTAGGATTGGTGCAACAGTTCAGTGACCTTTACATCCACTTTTAATGTGCTTCAATGTGAAGTGTGAAATTACTAACAGGCAAGAATAGTCCTCACCTGGCTTCCAGTGCCTCTCTTCTGTGCTTTATTTTGTGAGAAAAGGTATGAAAAAGGTGAAAAGGTTTGTGACTTAACTTATCTCACTACTTTACAACAGTGCAGCTTGGCTAACAAGCAGCACGTGGACATACCATACAGCCTGTACATTCCAGCATAGTCCCGCCGACACTGAGACAAGTCATTCACACTGAGAGACCTCTGAAGAGCAGGGCGCAGGTGAACATGTTTTGGCCTAGGTAATGTTGATGAGGAGCTTTCTACTGTTACAAAGGAGAACAAGCCTCATTCTTTGGCTATAACCTTATGTTAAAACTTACTTGTCTCTACCAATATTGATTGTTGCTAATACAGTTCATTCTAAGTACATTAATTTTCACATTACCAAGAGGCTGTATTCTTGTAAACACCTACAGCATAGTGCTCAAGGCTTTTAATTTAATTGACATTTGCTAGATGAGGTAGTTTACAAACATAGCTAACACCAATTAATGGTAATTCAGAAAAAGTACAATTAATTATTTCAGTGTTGCCAACCCCAGGTGTTCAAAATCAAGTCAGATCCAAAAAAAAATGATAATTAATGGCATTATTTAGAAATTAATTTGGGGTTCTTTTCTACTTTATGGTTTCTGAGCTCTTAAGATGTAATCAGGTCACGTTTTCTACCTTTTTCTGCAACCATGACAGCTAGGATTTTTTTTCCCCCCTTTTTCTTTATTTTTACCTTAAAATAAGAAAAAAGAAAAGATTCTCACAGGTCCAAGATCTGAGACTTTAAGGGAGCAAAACACCACAAATGTCATGAGACTTGGTATAAAATCATGAGAGTTGGCAACACTATTTTTTTAAATCAGTCTATGTTAGAATTATTGTCACAATTATGAAAGAATGGTTTTAATCTTAAATATGATATGCTGACAGGGTACAGTACCTCGGAAACTTTGGGCCTGCATAGGCTTAGTTCCAAGTTCTGCGTTGGGCATGTTATGTTGCTGTAGCTTCCTTTTTGCTTCTAGGACAGGATTTTCAAATTGCGTTCTTCTATTTATGTGGCTGGAAAAAATTTGGTTTTAATTAATAATTGGGTCCATTTTGTGAAGAATGACCTTTTTATACAGTGGGATCATCATCACATGGCTTACTTGTGTGTCACTAGATTGTATGACCCTTACTCGTACGTAAATGAGACTGCATGTAATTGAGGGCTTACCAGGGAAAGTGAGAGTCACACAAGCTAGCACGTAGAGAATCCCCGTTGGGAAATTCCCTGCCTCTTTGGCATGCTGAACTCCGGTACAGGAAATGGTTTTAATCTACGTGGCTCTGTTCTATGCTAGCAACAGTTTCTCAATTCTTCACTACAAGCAACATTCTATGCATGATTAAAACAGAGAAAACAGACAAGTATATGTATAGTGTTGTGGATAAGCTTCAAGCAAAATTCATTGTTTATAGTGAAAAGCAAAACCTAACCAAAAAGTGATTTTTCTTTGGTCGCTGATTAACAAAGTAATGAATCTATTGTGTGCTGGGTTCCCATAACAAAAGGAATGATTATACCAGAGATGGTATTTTAATTATACAATGTATTTCTGTTAAATTTAACAGAAAAATGGGGAAAGTGTAGAAAATAAATCACAAATATAAGGGCATTAAAATAGGGGACAAATCATTGCCATGCCACATATGTCAATATGTAAAACTTCCTATGCCATACTGGCATGTGTTCTTTATTCCTATAACTTTATTTTGTACAGTGTATATTTTTTGTACAAAACTTCTTTTCCTACACAATGTTGCAGAGGTGGCTGTCAAGAGAATACATTTTTACTGACTAGTGGATAATCCTATAGGAAATGGAACATATCCCATGATATGTTTCATTCTTCTCCCACTAAAGGCAAAGGTATTAATTTCAAGGGATTTCAGTTCCTTGACATAGGTTAGAAAATGTGTTCCAACGGTTAGTAAATTACTGGAGAGAGAAAGGCAGAAAGAGAAAGAGAGAGAGAGAGTTATGCACAAAGGACTAGAGATTCATCCACTCAGTTCCTCTTTGTTCTGAGAGACCTGCTAGATTTTGAACTGCTTTGCAAATCTGGTCCTGACTATTGCAAATAGCCATTGAAATGGACACCGATCCCTCTTAAAAATCAGGGATACTAAAAAGTGCCAAACAGCTTTAATTTCCATTTAAATCATCTCTGTGCTACCCTACCTAAGCACTTCTCCAGATTATCATGATTATGGCCTATTCCAAGTTCATTGAAAGAACAGGCTAGAGGGAATATGACAGTATCTCATAACCCATACAGTGAAAGTAAGCTGTTTGCCACCCAAAGTTAATATCTAGCAAAAATTTCATTAATGTGACTAGGAACATTCATTTTAATACATCAAAGTGAAAGAAATTTGCTATCTACTTAACATCATCATACTCAGAAAGGGAGTTAATAATAGCTTTTTTTGTGCCTCCAAAAATGAACCAGGCATATCATTTTGTGGGGTTCTTGTCTATGCCAAATTGGTCATTTGAAAAAAATAAATAAATAGGAAATGCTTTTTCTAATTACAGCTTCAGTTGCAGTTAGATATTTAATGTTGCAGAAGTAGACCATTCCGTACTTTCCCATGGCTTTATCACCTTAAAGGAAGATTACTGTAAAGCTTGGGGCTCATAAGCTGGAAACAAAAGGAGGAGAGAAAAATTCAGGATTGAAGGATATTGTTTTTCATCACCTTTGCACTACCAACATTTCTTTTTTGGTGACACAAAGTGAAAGCAAACAGACTTCTATGCCCGTTGTTGCACCAGAATGTGGTCACAACAAAAAGTAGTAATATGTGCTGCTTTATTGTGGTGGATGTCTATTTGCTTTATGGCAGGAAAGTGAGGGCACCCCAGAGCTGCCGGCATTCTTCAACTGCTCCAGGCAGGTGCTTTCAGGATTCAGTCCTGTTTGCCCTGGGCAATCCAGCATAGAATTGGACCCCCTCAAGCCTTGGAAGTGTCTGCCTGGCTTTCCCTGCTTCCAGGGACTTGCCTTGGGCAATCTCTGGGGCAGGTCTCTAGAAGTGGGGAAAGGCAGAGTCCCCTGTTTCCAGACATGCCAAGGGGGAGTAGGGAAGGAGGGTTGCCTGTTTCCAGAGAATGGCTGGGGGCACATTTCTTGGGAACCCTGACTTGCCCTCTTTCTAGACACACCCGGGAGACTACTAAGAGTGCACCTCTGGAAGTTGGGAACCCTGATTTTCCCCATTTTTAGAGATACACTTTGGAGACTGCCAGAGGTGTGTCTCTGGAAGTGGGGAACATGTTGTACGCTGTCCCAAAAGTTCAGTGGGCAGAACAACAGGTGATCTGTGTTTCACCCAAGGAAGTGTATTAGCTGTGCTATGACACATCCTGGCATAGCAGTTCTGCTTCATTTGGCAATATCTATTTCTAGCCTCAGGTGTACCAGTCCACTGTAGAAGAATTATAAACCATTGATGTGATACAGCTGTGAAAAAGGCAAATGCCATTTGTGGGTATATCAGGCAATGTATTTCTAGCAGAAATAGAGAAGTGTTTTGTCATTGTGCAAGGCACTGATGCATCATCTGGAATACTGTGCTTGATTCTGGTACCTTATGTTCAGAAAGGATTATTTCAGACTAGAACAAATGCAGAGGAGGGCCACTTAGGATGATTAAGGGAATGAAGAGTCTATTCTGAAAGATCAGACTAAAAAAATCTTGGCTTCCTTTAGCCCAGCAAAACAAAGTCCACAGGGAATATGATTGCTCTCTTTAAATACATCAGGGGGTAAACAGCAAGGAGGGAGAAGAGCTATTTGAGCTAATGGACAACATTGGCACAAGAATAAATAGCTATGAATCGACCATGAAAAAAATTCAGGCAGAAAATGAAAAACTTTCCTGTCTTGAGCAGAGGGTTGGACTAGATGATTTCCTGAGAGCACTTCCAACCCTGCTATTCTATGATTTTAACCATCAGACAGATTAGATTCTGGAACTGTGCTATTAGGTGTAGTGGGAGCCAAAAACCCTAATAAATTTTAAGATGGATCTTGAAACATTTATGAAGTGTATCATATGACTTTCTTTGCTGCAATAGCAGGGGACTACATTCAGTGACCCAGGAGGGTCATTTACCAATCTATATATGGTTATGCCTTAAACTAGGGGTAGGCAAAATGGTGGATCTGGCTGGTGGCTGGACTCCATTTCCCAGCAGCCCCTGCCCACATCACTGTGGGCAATTTCCATGGAGACCCCAGGACCAGTGACAGTGTGGGGCCAGGGTTTCCATGGAGATAAGCCCCAGCCGCGCTGTTAGGGCGTGCAGCTGGGCAGAGTTGCTCCAGGGCT